ATTCACTCACCTCAGCCTCCCAAAGGCGCGGGATTACAGGCTGAGCCACCAAGCCCGGCGGTTCCTCTCTTTCAATCCTTTAGCAAATCCTGGCTGCTGGACCTCCAAGATTGATCCAGAGCCCCACCTCCTTCTCTCCTGCTCCGCGACACCATCATCCTCTTGCTCACAGGGTTGCGACAGCCTCCTAGCTGCCCTCCCACTTCCTTCCTCACTTGCACCTGCAGCCCGTGCTCAGCGCACCAGCAAGAGCCTGCTGAGTCTCAGTCTCAGTCCGACAGATCACGCCTCTCCTCCACTCAAAACACTCAGTGCTCCCGTCTCCTGAAATACAATCTGAAGTCCTTACAAAGGCCCACAAGGCCCCTTGTGACCGGGTCTCCAATTACCTCTCATCTCCCACCATCATCCTTGTCAGTCCCGGCCTCACCAGCCCTTGCCATTCCGGTCTCGGGACCTTGGCAATGGCCGTTCTCGCTAACGTCCATGCGGTCCGCTCCTTCGCCTCTTCAGATCTCTGTTCAAGTTCACCTTCTCAGTGTAGTCTTCTCTGAGCAGCCTCTGAAGTTATAGCCTCCCCCAGTCCTCCCCACCCTTCTTCCTGGCTTGATTTTTTCCCCCATAGCCCTTGTCATTCCTAAGATGGTCCATCTTTTACCTCTTTGTTAGTTCATGAGAGGCAGTACAGCACAGACTGCCAAGGTACCAGTCCCAAGTCTACCTCCCACTATCTGTGTGATCTTGGATGAGTTCCTTAACCTCTCAGCCTCAGTCGCCTCATCTGTAAAATGGGAGCAATAGTGGTTCCCATCTCAAAGGATTGATGTGAGGGTTAAATAGGTGCTATTATTACAACTCTCATCATTGCTATTATTACTAAGGCCTCTCCCAGCTCTGATAGCCCAACACTCTATGATACTAGGACCTGCACCATAGCAGGAGCTGCTGCTGCTGCTTTTTTCTTTTAGTTGGAGTCTCACTCTGTCACCCAGGTGGGAGGGCAGTGGCATGCTCCCAGTCACCGCAGCCTTGACCTGCTGGGTTCCGGTGATCCTTCCACCTCAGCCTTCCAAGTAGCCAGAACTACAGGTGCATGCTACCATGCCCGGCTAATTTTTAATTTATTGTAGAGACGAGGTCTCGCCAAGTTGCCTGTGTGGGTCTCAAACCCGTGGGCTCAGGCAATCCTCTTGCCTTGGCCTCCCAAAGTGCTGGGATTACAGCCTGAGCCACCGAGCCCGGCCAGGAGGAGCTTCTGACATGCATGAGGAGTGTAAAATCTGGGTATTTCTGAGGACTGGTATAAAAATAAGCTCTAGGCCGGGCATGGTGGTTCACGCCTATAATCCCAGCACTTCGGGACACCAAGGCAAGAAAACTGCCTGAACTCAGGAGTTCGAGACCAGTCTGGGCAACATGGTGCGATCTCGTCTCTACAATAAATAAAAAAATTATCTGGGCATGGTGGTTCCAGCTACTTGGAAGGCTAAGGTGGAAGGATCGCCTGAGCCCAGCAGGTCAAGGCTGCACTGGCTGTGAGTGTGCCACTGCCCTCCACCCTGAGCGACAGAGTGAGACTCCGACTCAAAAAAAAAAAAGAGCCTTGAGCACCGTAAACGGGGGTTCAGAACCCAAGAAGGGTGATGTTTCCAACAGCTACCGTGATTGCTCCTGGCGGGCCACAGCCTGACCCTGGAGAAACAGAGGAAGGAAGGAAGCCAGGGCAGCCCCAGCAGTTAAACACCAGGCTCCCTGGGCTGGGTCCTACCCATCTGAGGAACACAGAACTCTGTCGGGGGTCTAGTCCTCCACTCCAGCCTGTGGATTGGACTGTGATAGACGAGGCAGGATTTGGCCCTGGGAGGGGAAACATCTCATCCCCAGGGCTCTCCATAGGTCCAGGGTATACTTAGAGAGACTCAAGACCAAGGCCGTGGCTCAGGGCATATATTCGCAGAACCCAGATTTGTTAGTGTCAAGGGTCCCATCAGGGGATACGTCCTCCGTCTTGGTTGTATCTTTGTTTCTCCAGGCCTAGGCACCTCCTCTTTGATGAGGAAGAGGTCAGAGAATATGAGAGATGTGGCTCCCAGCCAGGGCAACTGCCACATCCCTACCTCCCTGCCCCAATCCGGCTCCTCTGCCCATCCCCCACTCACCATTGGAAGCAGTGAAATCAATGGCCACGGTGAAGTTGATCTGGGTCCTAGAAGAAAGAGAACAGCAGGGGAGTCACCTGGAGAGAGGCAGAGCCATGGGCGGGCAGACAGCACCGGACAGGGGGAGAAATCTGGCCATCACCCTGGCCCCACAGTTTGTCAGGTATGTGGCCTTGGTAAATTCACTCATCTCCTTCCAGTTCTGGGAAACTGGGATAATAATGCCACTACCACCCCCGTCTAAAGGATTTGTGGGTGTCAGAGGAGCTAGGCAGTGTGAAAGCTCTTTGAAGATGATTTTGTTCAGTGTGGGCACATGGCTACAATCTACTTATTTCCTCCCCAAACTCTCTCCCCTGGGCCCACTTGAGTGGACAGAGTGAGGTCAAGTCTCACTGGATTTCTGGCTCAAGTCTGGAGTCAGATTTAGGATGAAAACGTATTTGACAAAAAGAAAGAGAGTAAAGACCAGACACGGTGGCTCATGCCTATAATCCCAGCACTTTGGGAGGCTAAGGTGAGAGGATTGCTTGACAATAGGAGTTTGAGGCTAGCCTAGGCAACTTAGCAAGACCTCATCTCTACAAAAAAGTAAACAAATAGCCAGGCGTGGTACATGCCCGTAGTCCTAGCTTCTCTGGAGGCTAAGGCAGAAGGATCGCCTGAGCCCAGGAGTTTGAGGCTGTGGTGAGCCGTGATCGTGCCACTGTACTCCAGTCTGGGCAACAGAGGTTAGACCCAGACTCAAAAAAAAAAAAAAAAAAAGACAAGCAGACATTATGCTTCTCCTGAGGAAAGAACAAAATACCCCCATGAAATCGTCTTGCCAAAAAAATTGAGCCTGAATCCGACTGAGCCTCTAAAAGCTATCTCCTAGTTGTTTACAGGAAATACAGGGGACAGAGGAACACGTTCAGTACACTACAGGAGATGCAGCCAGCAGAATCCAGTCTGGGGGGACTTTGTAGAGACACAGTCAGCCTTTGCAGCATCGTATCGCTTGGGACTTGCGGGGACGTCAGGCCGCCTCTAGCCCTACTGAACCAGAGCCTCTTGCAGGATTTTGCTTAGCAAGTCATTCAGGTCGCTTCGGGACACCAATTGATGAAAAAAGTTAAGAGACAAATTCACCAATTGCAATAGACAGATCTGGCCTGGATTTCTGATTCAAGCAAACCAATGAAAAAACTTTATAAGACAACTAGGGAACTGTGAACACACCAACTAGGTCTGGGATTCAGGAGCTGTTCATTTTTTAGGTGTGGTGATGGTACTGTAGTTATGTTTTATATTTTAGAGCTACATTGTGAAGTATTCAGGAATGAACTATGATGGCTGGGATTTGCTTCAAAAGAACTGGAAGTCAGATGGCTGGGACAGGAAGACTGCTTGAGCCCAGGAGTTCAAGGCCAGCCTGGGCGACAGAGAGAGACTTCAACTAAAAAAAAAAAAAATTAAATTTAAAAATCACTGGATGGGCTGGGCGTGGTGGCTCTTGTCTATAATCCCAGCACTTTGGGATGAGGAAGCCAGAGGATTGCCTGAGCCCAGGGGTTTGAGACTAGCCTGGGTAACTTGGCAAGACCTTGTCTCTACAATAAATAAAAAAATCAGCCGGGCATGGTGGCGCATGCCTGTAGTTCCAGCTACTAGGAAGGCTGAGGCAGAAGGATCCCCTGAGCCCAGTAGGTCGAGGCTGCTATGGTCGTGAGCATACCACTGCACTCCAGCCTGGGTGACAGTGAGACTTTGACTAAAAAAAAAAACCCAAGCAAACAAACAAACAAACAAAAATCAGCCGGGATCGGTGGCTCAACCTATAATCCCATGCTTTGGGAGGCTGAGGTGAGCGGATTGCCTGAGCCCGCGGGTTCGAGACCCACCTGGGCAACTTGGCAAGACCTCATCTCTACAATAAAAAGAAAAAAATTAGCCGGGCGTGGCAGCATGTGCCTGTAGTTCCAACTACTTGGAAGGCTGAGGCGGAAGGATCACCGGAGCCCAATAGGTCGAGGTTGTGGTGGCCAGGAGCGTGTCACTGCACTCCAGTCTGGGCGACAGAGTGAGATCCCAACTCAAAAAAATAAAAAATAAATAAATAATTAAAAAAATTAAAAATCACGGAATAAAAGGGAGTGGGCATAGAACATGACCAGTTGTGAGTTGGTAATTGAAGCTGAGTAAAACACTCTTGGGGGTGATCATATCTTTTGTCCCCTACTGTGTGTGTCTGATGTTTTCCATAATAAAAGGTTAGGTTTTGAGGATTCAGATTCAGGGTTGAACCTCACTGAGGGCTTGGCTGTTCTAGGTTCTACAGATCCAAACAGGACAAAGCTGATAGGCATGAGTTCCTAATAAAGCTCTAACACCACAGTGAGCATAGAATCATCAGGGGAGTTTGTTTAAAAAGAAGATTCCAGAGTCCCACCCTAGAGATGCCAATTCAGTTGGTCTGGAGAGGGGCCTAGAAGCTGACTTTTGAGCAAACATCCACCTCTTTCATCCGAGGACACTGAAGAGGGGTTCTGGAATCACACTTGGGGAAACCCTGTCCTAGAGTTTCTCAGTTGAGGCTAGGATGGCGTAGAGTGCACCTCACCTGCATTTAGCAGAAGGTCCCCATTTGAAACACAGTCCTCTCTCCACCTGATCACAGTTGAGCTGCTTCTCATGGGACCCCAACCCTCCGGGAAAGGTCAAGGACATGATTACCAGGAGACTCAATCTGGGATCTTCTGGCTTCAGATAGTCTTCCCCACCCTCTTTCCCCTCTTCTCCTGCTGGGGGCAGAGCATCAAGTGGACTCCAGGTTCTAAGAGAGAAGGAACCACCAGACAGCAAGAGCCTGGAGCCCTGAATGACTATGTGGATCATCTCCCTACCCAACCCTGCCGTCCCATAGACAAAAAAGAAATGCTTTATGTATTAAGGCTTGAGGTTAGAGGATTACATGTTACAGCAGTTGAGCAGTTGACCTACCACATCCATCTGCTGTTTGTTGTCGTCTCTCCGCGTGGAATATAGAGTGTGTCTTTGTTCGAGGACGGAAGACATGTGGAGGGTAAGAGCCCTGTTCCCCAGGCCACCCTTGAGAGGATGGTTCTGGCCTGCACCACTACAGCCGAGGGACAACATCAGACAGACTCTTCCAAATACAGGGTGAGGGGAAAAGGCCAGCCTTACTCCTTAACTAGTCCTTCCCCCCTGCTGTGGGCTCTGGAAAAACTCAGGGAAGGGAACAACTGGGAAGCAGGTTACCTTTTGTGGGAAAATGACTCCCTGCAGCCTAGTCTCTCCTGCCTAAGGGCGGAACACAGGCTGCTGAGCAACCAGCTCCTCCTCTGGGGAGTGTGGGCGTGGGCACAGGGGTCCAGGTGGGCAGGTGAAGGAGGCCAGGATCCCTAGACACATGCCTCAGCTTCCTGCCTAGACATGCACGCCTGGCTCTCACTCCCTGGAGCCAGCTCTCTCACCCACGTGCTCCAGAGAGTTGGAGAAGACAGGCTCTGTGGTTCTAAGTGGCCCAGTGCACAGGCGCCAGTCTCCTGGCCTCCCTTGCTGGTCTCCCAGCCTCTGAGGGCTTCTTTCAACGAAGCTCATAGCCTCCAGCCCTTTCACTCAAGAGTCTCCAATTTCATCCCACCCCACCTGGTAGTTGGGAGGCAGGCAGGGCCAGAATTATTATTATTATTCATTACTATGGAATGAAAGGCACCATGTTATGACAGAAAGAACCCCCCCCCCCAGAGGCATGTGGCTTCAGGTGAGTTATGTAAAATGGAGATGATCATCCTGGCCCTGCCCATGGTGTTCTGTGAGTTGGGTGTATTCTATTATGCAAATGAGAAGATAAACAGGATGAGGGTTGTCTGAAAATTGCCAGGTGGGTAAGGGGTGGGTGTTTTGCGGGATAGAGAGGGAGCGGTCTTGATGAGGGAGGGAGCAAGGGTGGGCTCTAGAGTCAGCCAACAGGAGGAGCAGGTGGACAGAGGGAGGCTGTGTGTGCTCAGTGGCTAGGACAGCCTGCAGCCTTGGGACTGTGCAAGTTCATGGCGGCAGGGAGCCGTGTCATGGGAAAGTGGGTGTAGCTTCCCAGGGCCCGACTGCTCCCTCTGCCCTGGAGAACCAGGCAGCCAAGTGCCTGCTTGGCTGGGCTGAGCCTTTGGCAGCTGCTCTGTCTGTCTCTGTTCCAGACAGGTGCAGTCACCTGCGGGCTCTTGGCTGCCCACGCCCTGACCTGGCACCTGTCCTGGCAGGGAGCATGCTGGGCAGGCCCTCATCTGGAGTCAGACTCTCTCTGTGAGCTGTTGGTTGGAGCCTCCTGGCTTCCCCACCTGCCTGGGCCGGTCACCATCTTTTCTGGCTCTTTTTGCTCTTTAAACTTGTCTTTGACCACCTGCCGGCCCCAGGACTATTCCTGGCTCACTCCCAATCCCACTGCCCCTTATGGTTCCCTGATAACAGCAAGCAAGTTAATCACTGCTCCCCCAAGATGGATCAGAGGTATCAAGATCAGAGCTGGAAGGAATCTTAAAACTCACCTACTCTGAACTCTGTGTACAGAGGAGGAAACTGATCCCTAGGGAGGGAAAATGACTAGCCGAAAGTAATCCAGCAAATTCATGGCAATGAGGGGCCTCCTGACTCCTAGTCCAGGGTTATTTCCTCCTCCCTAAGCCCCTGACTCTTTGTGTCATAGAATCCCTACCACCTCCAGGTCCCGTCTCTGCATGGGGACCTGACGTGACCCAGACCAGCTTCCTTGGCTCAGGAATTCCCTCTGCAGCCACTCAGGACCCAGGGGTATGCAGGGATCTGGGAGAGTTGTCTCAGCCCAGACACAAGGGTCTGCTCAGAGCCCAGCACCGCAGCCTTGGACAGGGCTTCCAAGAGGCCAGGGTGGGGCCGGAGCCCGTCAAGTCTGTATGGGGGACCCCTTCCCTCTCCCCGAGGCCAACGAAATGACTGAATTTCTTCTCACCCTCCTTTGATGTAGTCAAGGAAGGTGCACTCTGACTCCACAGCAAAGGAAAGCAGGGTGACCTTGAAGACAAAAGGAAACCTGGTCAGCGGGAGCACCAGGTCAGGGGGAGAGGGTTTATGATGGGAGAGCTGACACTTATAGAACATCAGAGCATGCACTGCCCACAACCACCCTATGAAGCACTATGATTATCCCCATTTTATAGCCAAGAAAACTGAGGCTGCAAGAGGTGACCCAACAGGCCCAAGGACACTGCCAGGACCGAGTGGGGATCTGAACCCAGGTCTGTCTGACTCCAGAGACTGCACTTTTGACCTTGATGGAAGGGCCCCATCTCTATCACTGGAGCAAAGGGGCCCAAGCCAAGGGCACAAGTTTCCTGTAATGGGCACTGCCTGTCCAGCCCCAAGGCCCTGGGGTGGGGTGTGGAGTGCAGGAGGGCCTTCCTGACACAGGTTAACGACCCACCAGTGCCATCAAGCTCCACACTTCTAACTATTCATCCTATTCTATCAATCCTGAAACATGCCTCTGTTGTGTGCCTCCCTTAAACCTCACTGGTTTGGGCTCAACCCTCTGGTGTCTCTCAATGTCCACCCTCTCAGCAGCCCATCCTTTCTCCAGAGATAATTGGCCACCCAAGGACCCTTCTCCCAAGCAGAGCCCCGTGACCTGTGCCCCGCTCTGAACAACATTGGCAATGGCTTTCTCGATCTGGGAGCTCATTACAATGATAATTTAGGATCATGGACATGATCCTAAATGAAAACCCAGCATCCTAAAGCAATGAAGTAAGGCAAGATCGGAGCAGAGGACCTATGTAAAGAGAACTCACTCCTTTCCAGTAGTGTGAGAGCCCCCTACTGGTGCAGATTCCACCATTTTTATGGGCTTGCTGTTGAGCCATTAGCCTGAACAGTAGTAGAAGGATCTGTGAGTGGGGCTTGGAGCCCCCCACCCGCTGCAGTTAACCGTGTCAGACACCTGGATGCACCACAAAGCCTCCTTCCAAGTGCACCAGCTCAGACTCACAAGGCGTGGACCATGACAGTGTCTTCAACCCCAGTAATGATCAATTAGGCTCCCCGGGGAGCTTTTAAATCATCTTGCAGCCCAGACCAATTATATCAGTTTCTGGGGCTACATCAGAGTTTCAGAGATTTTTTTTTAAGCTGGTCTTCCATTTTATTATGTATTTATTTGTTTGAGTCACGAGCTCACTCTCTTGTCCAGGCTAGAGGGCAGTGGCATGATCACGGCTCATCACAGCCTCAACCTCCTTCTACCTCAGTCTCCCCAGTAGCTGGGACTACAGGTGCGTGCCACCATGCCTGGCTAATTTCTTGATTGTTTGCAGAGATGAGGTCTCACTATGTTGCCTAGGTCTCGAACTCCTAGGCTCAAGCAGTCCTCCTGCCTCTGCCTCCCAAAGGGCTGGGATTACAGGTGTGAGCTGCTGAGCCTGGCCTGATCCTTTTTTGTTTTTCTTTAAGCTCTTCACATGAGTCTAACCTGCAGTCAGGGTTGACCGCTGCCCCAACCCACCAGGATGAAGCAATTCTCTAACTGGTCTGACCACATGGATTAACCCGGGGCCTTGCAGGGTGAGAGCAGACTTTCACCTACTCAAAGTGTGGTTCCTGGACCAGCAGCACTGGCATCTCCTAGATGCTGATTAGAAATGCAGATTCTTGGCATTTTAACAAGATTCCCCCGGGAGCTCTGCACACAGTAAGTGAAGTATGAGAAACGTGAAACACAGATTCCTGGGCCTCCTGACATAGAAGTCCAGGGCACTGGCCTGAGTATCTGTATTCTAACAAGCACCATGGATCCTGGGTGGTTTTTCACAGTGAAGATTGGCAAATGTTAGAGTATAATCAGGAGACCTGGGCCTAGACCTGCTCTGTCCCTAACTCGCTGTGTGACCTTCGACAAATCACCTTCCCCCTCTGGGCCACAGTTTCTTCACCTCTAAAGAAGGCTGGGCAAGATTAGTGGTTTTCAAACCTTTTCCAGCTAGGGAGGGTGCTGCTTCCCCCAGGGGCATTTCAAAATATGTGAGGGAGTTTTGGGGGTTCTCATAATGACTGGGTCCCCACTGAAAGACAGGGGTAGAGGCCAGGGGCGCTAAGTATCCTATAGTACATGGGGAAGTCCAGTGAGATGAAGAATCAGCCTGCCCAAACGCTGACAGGATCCCCCATAAGAAACACTGCAGCGTTGAACAGAGCAGAATATTACTCCAAGCCTGAGTTTGCCAAACAGTTACAATCAGCGAAGCCAGTTCCCTTTGAAGGAGGAGAGTACTTTATAGTTACAAGATTGCCTCTCACGTGGCTGTCACAGCCACGCTGTGCAATAAGCAGGGTAGGGATGATTGGCCCCATTTCACAGCTGGAGAAAATGAGGTTCCTCAAAGGAACCCCAGGGCTCCCTAAGGCCTCTCCTGGGTCTGGAGTTACAGTCTTGTCTGACTTGAGTGATTAAGCTCGGCTGCATTAGCTAATGGGGTCATGGGCTGCAGAGTGGAGAAGGAACACAAAGAGCATGAAGTCGGGGATGCTTGCACTGCCAAGTCAGCGGCTTTTTCGATACATGCACTGGGGACTCTAACCTCAGGGACTTTGCACATGCTGCTCTCTACAGCCAGAATTCTCTCAATACTCGCGCCATTCCCTATCCCTTTACCTGATTTCACTTTTACCCATAGTGCTCATAACCCCCGACACACACAAGTTTGTGTGCGTACGTGTGTGCACACACACATATATGTGTAATATATATGTCTACCCCGACTAGAACATAAGCACCCAGGATTTGGGTCTGTCTTGTTCCCAGCTGTATCCCCTATTCCTAGAACAGCACCTGGCATACAGTCGTACCCAGTAAATATGTATTGAATCAATGCGTGACCGTCCCAAAGACCAGCCCACAGAAGCCATGGGGCCAGTGTGTGACCCCAGAGTGGTCACGGTGAAGCAGGGGCCGTGCCCATAGCAGCGGCTGGCTCCGGAGTCAGATGCAGCGTTGACTCCCTCTCTACAAGCTTCTAGCTGTGTGACCTTGGTTGAGTCACGTCCCCGCCTGCAGCCTTGGTTTCCTCCTTCATGACGAGGGGCTGGTGATACCCGCCTCTCAGGGAAACAGTCTGTGAAAAGCACCTAAATGGGGAATTTCCCAGAGTAGGGCCCCGAGAAATGTGACTTTTTTCTTCTTCCTTCCCGAAGGAAGCCCCGTGGGTGTTTCTCTCTGCGCCTCCACGTTCTGCACACGGCGACGGTGGCAAGGTCTGCACCGTGGCCTCCCTGCACTATCACTCCATCTGCCCCTCCTCTCCCCACCGCTGCCTCTCTCCTGGGTCGGCCTCACCCCTCCCCACCACCTGTCTCCCAGGTCTGCCCCGCCCCTCCCCACCCCTACCTCTCTCCCCATCCGATTCCCACACTCTGCCCCGGGATACACCCCGACACATGTGACGCCCTGACACCAGACCTAGCTTGGAGCTCGGAACGTCTACACCCGGCTGCCGAGAGGGGGTGGCTACTCACAGTGCCAGAATTCACGTATTTCTTTTTCTTCATTTTCTTTTTCGGGTTTACCACCTGCAGGAAAAATCAGTTACTGGGTGAGAAGGAGTGTTTCCAGCTGTCAGGGCTGGGCCTGTCGGGATTCCACCAACCCCCAGGTGTGGTCCCAGCCCCATCCCAGCAGTGTGGGGTGTGGAGACCACGGGGGCCATGGGAGCAGGGTCTAGGGAGCTTTTGTGGGAGACTGGTATTCAGTGACACAGTTGGGCTCCCGGTCAGACCTAGCATCCCACGATCAACCAGGAATATTTATCTAACCTTCTTTCCCACCGATCCCTGATACACACCCTCCAGCCAGCACAGCCAGGGAAGCCTTGATGTCGCAAAGAGGCCCTGTCTGTGCCTGTCCCTTGTGTTGGCTCAGGTTGCCTGCTCCCCTCACCCCAAATACTCGCCCGCTTCCCTCAGCCAATGCCAATCCTCCCTGCTTGTCCTTTGGGCTCACCCCAAGGGCTGCATGGGGTCTTTGAGGCTCCCTTCCATCTCCTCACTGTCCCTACTTGGCAATAAAAACCTCCTTAACTATTCTTCATGTGTAAGCTTTAATTTCCAAACCAGATCTGTGGTCAGATAGCAAGTCACGGGGCTAAGCACCTAGTAGGTGCTCAGAAAAGGCTTACTGGTGGACTCAGCTGCGGGCGATTTTTGTCTCCCAGGAGACATTTGGTAATGTCTAAACACAGTTTTGGTTGTTACATGTGGGGAGAGGGGAGAGGACAGGGATGCTACTGACATCCTATAACACACGGACAGCCCCACAGCAAAGAATGATCCAGTCCCTAACGTCAGTGGTGCCAAGGCTGAGAAACCCTGGGCTCAGTACTGGGGTCACCCTGCCCTGAGAGTCACCCATGGGACTTTCATACTTACTATCTTTGGACTCTCTTTGGACCCTCCCTGGCTGTTTTTTGTTTTTGTTCTTTTTTTGAGCCTGAGTTTCACTCTGTCGCCTAGGCAGTAGTGCAGTGGAATGCTCACGGCCACTGCAGCCTCCTCCTGCTGGGCTCAGGTGATCCTTCCACCTCAGCTTTCCAAGTAGCTGGAACCACAGGTGCACGCCACCATGCCCGGTTAATTTTTCTTGATTTATTGTAGAGCCAGGGTCTTGCTAAGTTGCCCGGGCTGGTCTCCAACCTGTGGACTCAGACAATCCTCTTGTCTCTTACCTTCCAAAGTACTAGGATTACAGGCGTGAGCCGCCACGCCCTGCTTATTTTTGTTCTTAATAAGGGAAGTCTAGGCATAACCTTTCCCTCCTCACCCCCATCTCTCTCCAAGCAAGGCACTTTTCATACTGGTGTGTCACATTTCAATGGGCATTCGCAGCCTGTTGTTGTCTGGTGAACTCATTTCCCTTCCCCCACACCTCCTGGATCTGCTGCACCTTTAGCTGTGGTCTCTTCCTTCTGAATATGAGTATCGATATCTACTTCTGGTAATCAGGAAACTAAGGCACAGAGACACCAAGTGACTTGCCTAAGATCACACAGGAATCTGGGTGGAGACAGGATTATAAACCAGGTTTCCTGCTCCCAGGCCAGTGGTGCATACGTTAGTGCCTTGATGACAAACACAAACAGATCCCTTTAATATCTATTTATGAGATGGGGCGGGTGGGGGTACTATTTCTTCTCCCCTAGAATCATCGCCCCTGTTGGAGAAAGAAGATACATCCTTGGGGCCATACATCCTTTGGGACAAGGGCCACCAAAAAAGGGGAATCAGAAGCATCGGGGAATTGGAGAAAAGAAAGAGCAATCCAAGGGGAGCACCAGCAAAGACTCTCAGAGCAGGTGGCCTTGAAGGCTGACTTTGAGGGACAGGAAGACTGTAGGCATGCAGACCTCAGTGTCATGGGAGATGCTGGGTGGGGGTAGGGCGATGCACAGCACCGGGGTCCAGTTTGATGGTAGAACACAGGGTGGAAGAGTAAGCTGGGATGACTGGAAGAGAGCCCAATATGCCAAGTAAAATGTCCAAATGTCACCCAGCAGTCAGCAGGGAATGCTGATGGCCTCCAAGCAGGCAGGGGACAAGACACAGCAGGCTCTAGGCTGCTGGGACCAGGTGGAGGTGAGCATGGGGGAGGAAGAGGGACATCCAGGGACTGTCTACCTGGCTCTGCCACCCAGTCATGGCAGTGTGACCTTAGGCAAGTTACTTAGCTTTGGTGAGCCTTGGTTTCCTCATCTGTAAACTGGGAATAAAAAGTACCTGCCTCACAGAAAGGTACGGGGATTAAATGGGCTAAGGCAAGTGAGTGTTTAGAACAGGGCTTGGAGTGCAGCACTTGGTAAGTAAGCGTCAGTTGCTAGTTTTTTTTTTTTTGAGTTGGCGTCTCACTCAGTCACCCAGATTGGAGTGGAGTGGCCACTCCCGGCCACCGCAGCCTCGACCTACTGGGCTCCGGCGATCCTACCGCCTCAGCCTTTCTAGTAGCGGGAGCTATAGGCATGCGCTACCACACCCGGTTAATTTTTTTTTTTATTGTAGAGATGAGGTCTCGCCAAGTTGCCCAGGCGGGTCTCGAACCTGCGGGCTTAGGCAATCCACTCACCTCAGCCTCCCAAAGCACGGGATTACAGGCTGAGCCACCAAGCCCGGCTAGTTGCTATTTCTTAAATGACTGTTACTGCCATCGCTGCCACTGCCAGTCCACACGGGAGGTAATGAGAACCTGGGGGCGCTGACACAGGGTTGAGCTATAGCAATAATGGTACTGTCAAGAAGTGACCACATGTCTTAGGCCCTGGGGGTGGTTGTGGAGGCTTGAGAGGGGGAGGGGCCACGGTGTACACGGAAGGAGGGATTTGGGATTTGGATTTGGGGCACGAGCTCAAAGTTCTGGTGGGCTGTGCAGGCGGAAACGAAGGGCCTGTACGAGACAGGAGAGAGCCTGCAGAGAAAAGCCCAGAACAACCGTGCAGTACTCTCTTTAACATGGAAGGACTCCCCCTCCACAGGGCTCTCCAGATGATGGGGTACTCATAGACACACTCATGGGAGGATAGCTTACTAAGTGCGGAGATGAGGACAGAATCACAGCTCCGAGGCTGCATAGTGCCTCAGTTTCCTGATCTGTCCCTCGAGGGGGTTGAGCTATTAGAATGGAGTGCATCTCAAACATTTCCTCCAAAGCAGCCCTCCCAGCTGAGGAGAACAAACCCAGGCTCCTGCGGCTCTGGGTGTATCCCAAAGACCTGGTCACAAGTACATTTCTTCAAAGCCTTGTGTTATCTTTAAACCAGCCTAGATTCCATGTTTGCACCTCTAATGTGACTGTTGCAAAGCAAAGCGATGCTCTCAGGTTCTCACTCAGGTTTTCACGGGATGTGGGCACAGAAGAATTGCCCCATTTACCCTAAGGTGTCATGCACTCCCCAGAGGAATAAACTTCCCCAGCTCCAAGTGGCTGCCCAGGTGAAGTTCCATGCAGGGAACTGGCACCCCCTAGGGGCCAGTCCAGGAACCCGCCCCCTTCACGAAGCCACCTCCTTACCTCTCCTGACACCCCCAGGGATCCCCAGGACAGGTCTGGGGCCTGCTCTCCTGTGCTTGGGGACGCCAAAGGGCTTCTAGGAGCCAAGAGCTACGCTGGCTCTGGGGATGAAGCAGTGAGTGAGACACTGCCCCACCCTTGAGGACTTCAGGTCTTTCGGGGGGAGGGGGTAGCATCATAAACAGGTCATCGCCACAGGGGTTCCAGGAGCATGGGGAGAGGCAGCTAAGAGATTCTAGGGTGAGCTGGGCTCGGTGGCTCAGCCTGTAATCCGGCGCTTTGGGAGGAGGTGAGTGGATTGCCTGAGCCCGCGGGTTCGAGACCCGCCTGGGCAACTTGGCGAGACCTCATCTCCACAATAATTCAAAAAATTAGCCAGGCGTTGTAGTGCGCGCCTGTAGTTCCAGCTACTTGGAAGGCTGAGGTGGAAGCATCACTGGAGCCCAGCAGGTCGAGGCTGCGGTGGCCAGGAGCGGCCACTGCACTCCAGTCTGGGTGACAGAGTGAGACTCCAACTAAAAAAAAAAAAAGAGAGAGAGAGATTCTGGGGTGGAGGGAGTGTGCAGAGGGAGGCCACTTCCCAGAGGAGGAATAGCCACAGGGAGTCTCCAAGGACCAGCAGATCCCAACCAGGAGAGGAAGCCAGAAGGGAGGCCCAGGTGGAGGCACCAGCATGAATCAAGCCCTGGAGGCTGAGGTAGCGGGAAGTTTAGAAAAGTCCAGATGGCAGGATGGGGAGGAAATTGGGAGAGCGGCAGGGGCCAGTTCCCAGGTGCCCCTCTAATGTGACTGTTGCAAGGTGCCCAGTGGTGCCTGATGAGTGTCTGTTTACATACAAGCTTGCAGGTGGCTGGCTGGGGGCACAGGATCCTGCCTGAAGGAGGCTGGCCTCTATCCCGTAGGTGGATCCCAGCTGGGGTGGGAGCATCTTTCGGAATCGTCCACCTCCCCTGTGTCAACCAGGCCGAGATGGTAGGTAGGATGCCCTAGGCGGGTTTAAAGCAGGGGAGCGATGTGGTCAGATGGCCATTTTGGTGGAGTATTCTGGCTATTATGTGGAGGACAGAGGGAGGCGGGGAGGCCAAGAGGAGGCAGTTGCTGAGCCTTATCCAGGGGTGACGATGAGGATGGTGGTGGTGGATTGAGATAAAGGGAACACATATAGGAAAATGTAGGTGGTAGAAGGGCAGTGTTTGGTTGTGGGCTGGATGTGGAGTGGAGGGGGGTGTTACAGATGACTCCCAAGGTGCCCAGAGACTGAGCCTGCTCGCTGGGAGGAGAGGAGTGGTGGGCGAGGCTTAGCCAGTGTACTTGGTTTTGGAAGGCTGAGTTTCGGAAGGGACCTGCAGACAATGGAGTTCCTGTCTCCAGGGTGATGCCTGTCCCAGACATGGGTCTTTACTGACTATTCTATCAAGGCCTTCCTGAGCCCAACCGGCTCCCCCTGGGGCTGCCAGAGTTGAACTCCTTTTCCACCTGATGGCCTTTCAACGTGTGAAGACAGTGTCTCTGCCTCCCAGCGTGGTAGCTGTTCTTGCTGATTGCAAAGCAGCAGAGATCAGCAACCGAGAAAACAAATCAATCCGACGCTTCCTGCTCTCCGCCCAAGAGATCACAGCTCATTCTGGGCCCATCAAGCACCTTTAGAAGCCAAACTCCAAGAGCACTTCCCTTCACCTCCTTCAAATCTCTTCAGAGAAGGGAAGGGTGGAGTCTGTTTCTCTCTGCCTGGGTTGAGGGGGACAAGGACAAAGACAGCCCCTCTCTCTGTAGATGCAGAAAACAACGCACTTTTCTGTGAGTATCAGAGCCCTTTCAAACAATTCACCCACGCTCCCTCTCCACGACAGCCGTGTTCAGCTGAATTCAGCGTGTGCGTGTATAACAAGCACCTACCGTGTGTCTGGCAGTGCCCGGGCTAGGGTGGGGAGACAACAGAGAGGGCTGTCACCTCGCCTGCCCTTGGGAAGTCAAGTTGGAGTCCAAGACCCACCCACTCGGAACAGAGATACAGGATGAGGAAGTAGAAGCATCCATGGATTCGGATTCAGGGATGCGACTCAAAGCCAGCTCTTTTTTTTTTTTTTTTTTTTTTTTTTTTT